AACTCGGACAAAAGTTGCTTTTCACACTCCATTCACCTCGAAGCTGACAGTGCTGTGTAAGCTACGTGCTCGTTGGGCCAGCCACACTTTTGCCGCAGGTGGCTTTATCAAGTTAATAACAGCCTTGGTGTGGCTTTTATCAAGTTAAACTTGATTTTTCTCCGAGTCCAGAAAGGGAATGCCACAATTTTTTACATTACTCTGCTTTGAAAATAGTTTCGATAAAACAAACTGCTGGTATAAACACGTGCGCTAGCTCCAAACCTGGAAACCGATTCTGCTGGCTTGGCTTCAGTGAACTGCAGGGGCATAGATCAAGTTACAAAATGTCACTTTTATCGTCCTTCTCTTTTCATTTAAAGGGGTACGGAAACGAAAATTTAAATTTTATTCAAATTTTGTCTGGAAATGAGTCAAGCATGACGGGTAATAACCGTAAATGATAATCGCACGTGAGTATTTTGAACGACTGGCTATATTTTTCGTTGCAAACGGTGCACTCGAGCAAGCGAACTGAGAGCGCGATGCATCATAGGATATCCGGCGCAAACAAGAAAAGATTCCCCGCATTTGTGACATAGCAAGGCTGGCGTGGTTATGAGCTTTGCCATTGGTGGCGTTGTCAGCATTGTGGTGGTGTCAATAGTGTCAACGCATTACACCCGAGCCGTTTGAAGTACCCGTGGGGTGACAAGCGCGTGGCTGGCCCAAGGGGCACGTAGCTTCCACAGCACTCAGCTTAGGGGTGAACAAGCTGGGAAAAGCAACTTTCGTCAAAATTTTGAGTGACGGGCTAATCTTCTAGGGGGAGAATGGCTATGTCCGGATGCACAAACAAGGGTTCGGTACAATGCGCGATTTGTTAGTTGAGGAGGAAAGCTAAGAAGGAAAACGTTGAATTCCAAAGAGCGGCGCTGCTCCGATGGAACTTGCTACGTCATGACTACGTGGCAAGTTCCCCAATGTTGCTAGATTACCTCCCGAATAGGCTCCGCACGCATCCACCAGGTGCACATTGAAAGATTGTTTAATTAGCTTTAAAATTAGTTTGCTTGTGCCTTTCAATGCAAGGCTTGTGTTATTAAGGTTATGGTGCAACATGCAACACATTAAAGCGAAAAAATGAGCGCTGGAATTTCGTTTCCGTGCCCTTTTAAACAAGCGTAAGAAAAGAAAACAACTACTTGCAAAACTTTTTTTCTCGAAAGGAACAGCAGATATTTTTTTCCTGTTGAACGAAAGTGATATTGTTCTGCATTGCAAATGTATGTGTAAGCTGCGATGTTGAAAGAACATTCTCTCAATTCAGGTATGTCCAAAGACCCAAATAGGACTACCTAGGATGGAGATGCTGCGCATGCAGATTATGTAAGCGCCAAACATGATGAAAAGTAGAAAAGCCCAAGTTATACCATGTCCCTATACTATTTTATGTACTTTAATCAGTGTTGGACAAGATACTCGGCAAAAGTATTCAAGTTACTAAATGCCTGCTTCATAAAGTATTTAGAGTACTACTCAAGTTACTTTCCATGCCAAATATCTTGAGTAGAGTACAAATACTTTGAAATGTAATTCAATTACTTCCGAAGATACTTCCGCATTGCGTAATTTGCATCGACTTCAGTGATACTAGAATGCTTCACTTGCAAGCAACAGAAGCAAACAAAATGATATTGCAGTGCTATTCTATGCAGCCCCAGTAAAAGGAGTATACATCACTGGTCCATGTTACAATATAGTTTTAGACAAATGAGCGAAAAGAGGAAACTCTACCTATAGTCACTTTGCTGATAATCACATATTCTGGTGGTTTTATAATGCACATATTGAATGCAATGTTTTACTAAGCGCCGCGAGTCACTATTAAGCGCCACGAGTCACTTTAAACAAATTTTCTTATATGCGCAAAAGAATGACTGAATATCAAAGAGGGCTGACATATAGTAGGCATGGTACTTGTTGCACTTTCTTCGAGTTGAGTACCTCAAACCCTGCGTTCAAAGATGGCTGAACTTCAAAAAGAATTACACAGGCTACGTTTACATGGATGCGACCGTAGCGCATAGAATTGAGAGGTGACCATTCACACCGCCCTCTGATCATCCTTTCCCTTCCTCTTCTAACCAATCATAGGTGGCAAATCTCGATTTGATTAGCTACAGTCGCATCTATGTAGACTCGGTCACAGATGGACACGAAGAACTACAACTGTCTTTCTCACGGTTATTGATTTTTATACTTTTTTCATACTAAGCTTCAGGAACCCCTTCAAAAAGGCGTACAACTTGGGGAGGACTCGTTGTTTGCATTTTAAAAGCTGATCCTGCTCATAGCTAGTTTCCAGTCTTGTTGCTATCACTATGCTCATGAAAGCGTCAAGCTGTCGCTGTTCTTGCCGTAGCAAAAAAGAAAAAAAGAAGCAGTTCTTTTAATATATTTTTTATTCCCTTTTGTTGTTTTGTCGGCATTTCGAGTATGCATCTTTGGTTCTGCGCTTGTTTCCTGTTCATTGTCGGTTGTTTTCGCTTCAATTTCGTGATAGGTTCAACTTTGCGCTGGGGTGTGCGGATTACTATTTTCGTAAAATATTCCAGCAACAATTTTTTGCAAAGATTTAAAAATTATTTTAGATAATAAGTACAAGGTGCTGAGAAATGTAATTAAGATAGAGTAGCAAATACTCAGATCAAATGTATCTGCAAGAGACCAAATTACTTCCAAAAGTAAATTGAAATACAGTATCTTGAGTAGAGTATTGGAGATTGACACAAGTCTGACTTTCATTACCTGATTGTATATTGAAACGGATTAATATTCTTTAATATAAATTCTACCTATATCGTTCTAAATATAACCTGAAAAAGCCCAATCCCAGAATAATATCTTGAAACGCTCCTCAGTGCAGCTTGCAACAAAGCGACTTAGGCAAAATCTAAAAGCGGGAGGATATATGTATCGGCGTACCAACCGGGGCCCTTGAAACAGCCGCCACTGGGCAGGGCGAACACTGGCCGCCGGCGCCCAAGGGGTACCAAGGGCACTGCCCCCCCCCCCCCGGCCGTGGAAGGGGGGGAGTTCTGGTTTGCCCCCCCACCCCCACTCAAAAGCAAGTTGGTACGCCACTGGATATATGAGATTGTGTGACTGCGTACTCGGCTATGGCTGCAGGTGACCTTGGCTCGTACGACTGGCAGTGCGGTAGATAAAACGTGTGGCAGTTTCCTCCTTTTGGTTTTTGTCGGACGAGCCAATGGTCCTCGCCCTGGACAAGAGCGTCTGGACTACCGGTGCCTTGTGTAGGATGCTTTGAGTAGAACTGGAGTCAGCAGCCAGTGTGCAATTATAATGCAATTAAATGCAAAGGTACGGTTTTACAGAAAATGTGAGCGTCGGTTTTACAGAAAATGTGAGCTCTTTTTGTCGTCATTTGAATATGGAAAAAAGACCAGCTGTCGTCCATCTCATGTTGTGATCTGGGTGGCTGGCTCGATGGAGTTGAGGTGCGCCATGAAGCAGTCACCTACATACTGCAAGAGCACGTTGCGACTTGCGGCAAATGGCTATAGTGGCAAACCTGTGTATGGAAGCCATTGAACATTTTATACGCAGTTTGCCATGCTGAAATGGATGCACCCATTGCGGTTCCACTGGTCTCCCTATTAGTATACCCCCTTGAAACTAAAGTAAATGCTGCTGAGGCAGGACTCAAGGAGGCGGCGCAGTTTCTCAACGCTCAGACTAGTTCTGTCTCTCAAATCCTTGTCGAGGGTGTGTGTCGCTTGTAGTGGCAACTGCCAGAGGAACTGGAGCACTCGTGAAAAGACTTAGAAAGATGCCACGCTCTCCTCACCTTTACATGCGAGACATGCTCCACCAAGTTACTGGAGTTGTGCGCATAGGCTGCCATTTTTCCATCGACAGGAGAAAGAGCGCGGTGGATGTAATTGGACAGAGCTCAAAGCAGTGAGGTCATGGAGTCCACCCATTGGGCTTGCGCATCTTGGGGAGACCTTTTTTTCTTTTTTTTTTTTTTATCGAGGCAACATGTTTTTTGCAGGTTTGGACCAGTTGTCAAGAGTACATTGGATGAAGTTAAAAGAAAATTGACATAGATTCATTTTTTTTAATTGCCGCACAAAGATTGCATAATGTTTGAACTGAATGAAAGTGTGCAAACGTTGTTTACTTTCTTTATTTTCAGCAAAGTTCCGGGCACAAAGCAAAAACCAGTTACAACAGTAAAACTCTAATTTTTTTGTTAAGCGTGCACAAAGCATGATATCCTAGTCTGCACAAAAATTTTCAGCTCAGAAAAGTGTGAAATGTTTAAAACATTTGGCGAAATATGCTTCATTATAAAAAGGTTGCTAAGAGGCTGTCATTTTATTTGTCTTTAAACATAAACAAAAAAACAAAAACAAGAATCATTTAGGTAGCTAATTCCAATACCGCACCAGTTGGCATGCATCGCACACCAAAATTTTGAGAGTTTAGAAAGTAGTCTTCTTGATTCCTGCGGCCCTGAAAGTTGTGTCAACATGCAGTTGGGAAAGTCATTGTTTCAGATGTGATTTTTTCTTACGAAAATGAGAAAGGGTAGCTTGCAAAAGTAAGGTCTGTCTCTGGTTGTCTGGACATGTCTTGCTACCTCATCTAAAAATTGAAAAGAAAAAAATGCACATGGCACCCTGTCCTTATCTGAACACACCCTTTCCTCTACACCCCGTGCAGCTGTAAAGTAGTGATGAAAGGAAACTGAACTTCCCAGCAACTATTTCCAGAAGTTTTAAGGTATTGGCGCTATCGAAGAGAGACTTGTTTGCAAGTTTTGTCGTGGGACAAATAGGTATTGGCAATGGCAAGGACACCGCGCCAAATTTGGCTAAAAAAAGGTTATTTGACACAAGCAGACGCGGATGTTCTTTATTTTTGAAGCATAAAAAAGATTAAGCTGAGAGTCAGGGAATTTGGCCTTGAAAGGGGCCTTTGGTGTGCAGGGCCCTTTTGGAGGGGCGCCATGGGCAGCAGCTGCTCCTCGGCCCAGAAGAAGGACAAGAAGCAGCGGTGGGGTCCCCATGCGGGGCGTGGCCGGGCCCTGACCGCCCTTGCCCGCAGGTGCTCGCCCGAGGGCAGGAGGCGCAGCTCGGTGCGTTCAACGGACAGCCTGCCGTACGGCAAGGAGGCAACGCCGCCCCCGGCGCCCCCGGAGCCCCCGGCGCCCCCCAGCCACCACAATGGTGCCGCCGTCTCCCAGGTGCTCTCTCCGCGACTGCTCTCGGTGAAGCAGCCTGCAGATGCCCCTCTCACTTGCTTCAGTTGTTCCAAGGGCCCTCGGAAGAGGCTGAGCCCATGGAAACTTCTCACTAAAGCCCCCACATGCTCCAGTCCTGAAGAAATTTAAACTTGTCTCGGTCATTCCGATAAACCCGAACAAGAGTGGGTCGTGTGTGCCACGCATCCGAAACCACCCGAAGCTCCCCGCAGTCGAGCGTAGCTTAATGCACACACGGCACATTCCGCCCCTTGCAAAAATATTTATCCACTTTCAACAGAATTTTTCTTGAAAATAATGTATAGAGGTATTCTAAAGAAAATGTATCCACTTTTGTATCCACACTGTAGCTTTTTGGCCACTCTTTTTGTGGCATTCTCTAAAGATTTGATAGAAAAGAGATTCTAACAGCGTTACTATCCTCTTTCTATAGACACTCGACTAGTTTTTCGGGAAACAAAAGTCGGTCCTGAACATTAATTTTAGGGTTATCACAATACACCTGTGAAAACATGCACTTGGCACCTGCCTTGTGCACATACGCAGACATCACAAATACACATTCCAAGGAGTTCACTAGTGATTCAGTGGCGTTGACTGCTGCATCACCATGTTCCTTGAAAGGCAAACGTTTGAACTAGAACCACTCCAGAAGATAAAAAGTTTTGTGGACAATAATTTATACGAAATATGGTTTCTAAGGGTTGGTGAACCGTATCCCTAACTAAAAAGCGTTGCAAGGAGCAATAATTATTTGACACAGTCGAAAAAAAGCAGCCGCCGTGAGAAGGTCCCAACTGGGTGTTTTGTTTCTTGTCCAAACTGAATCATATTATCGAGTCTAGTCTATAGGTATTCTATACAAATATGGTGGCACCAAGTTCATTGAGACATAGCAATAGAAATTATATTGCATTTCTATTGTTGGTACTCTATAGACTTCGGTTGGAAAAAGTCTATAGAAACTATATAGAAATTTGTCGATACGGCGTGAGTGAACAGGAAGAAGGGCACTGCGCTTCCTGGTGGGCTGCACTTGTAAATGGAGTGCTACTTGTGCAGGAGGTTGATAGAATGACCCCAAGCCCCCTCTCTCTACCGCGTAAAACCAGGGGAATGTCTGTAGTCACAAAAAAAAGCCGCCGCGTGTGTCTAGTTGCCGGTGCGCATTTCTGAGGTGCTTCAAATTCAGGGGCGCCACCATGGTTTTACTCGGTGTGGATAGAAGTGTATGCAACCCGGTGGCTGACGCACGCAGGGGTCCCCCGGCCTGGAGTCCCTGGCGTCGCCGCTGCTGGGCCGCCTTGGCGAGGGGGAGGAGGAGGAGCAGGGTAGCCGCCAGCTGGGCCTGTACGTGTGCTCGGCCTTGCCGGACACCCTGGCGGAGCGCACACTGCTGGTGGAGCGCGTGTACCCGGCCCTGCGGCACCAAGCGGCCCAGCGGGGCTACGATCTGTGCCTGGCCGACCTGCACTGGGGCGTGCGCCTGGACGACCGGGCCCTGCTGGCCGAGGTCTGCCTGAGCACCCTGGCACGCCTGCGCACCCGGGGACGCCTGCTGGCTTTGGTACGCACGGTGTTGCCAACTCGAAAATCACAAACCTGCTCAAGAACCCCGAGAAACCGCTAAATTTAAGGTGTAGGCCCACTACAGCCATGCCACTAGGTTGAGAAAGTGTTCTTGGCAACTCGAAAACCGAAAACCCGCTAGAAGAATTCAGAGAAACTACTAAATTTGAGGAGTAGGCCAACATTACTAGAGCACTCAGTTGGCAAACTGCCATAAGAGCCTGCTTTGAAAAAGTGGCTCCGGTCCGTACAAGGGAACCAGACTAATGGTGATCGCAACACCGTCATTTCTCCCGCAGTGTCCACTCCGGGAACTGAGCGACTGCACATATTGGTTCAGGTCGATTCGTGCAAGGGTTGGTGGCGCCATCTTGCAAGATCTATATAAAGCAACTTTTATGTTTTGACTCGTCGCTAAAGAGTGGCGCTGCTATCATATTTAATCTGGTCTCGGTGGATGCCAGCGGTTCAGGGTTCAAGGGTGAGTTTCCCAACTGAGTGATTTAGTAATGTTGGTGCAGGCCCACTGCAGCCATGCCACTAGGCCGGGAAAGCGGTATTGCCAACTCGAAAATCTAAAACCCGTTAAATAACTCCCGAGAAACGGCTAGATTGAAGGCGCAGGCCAATGTTATTAGATTAGCTTCTCAGTTACGGAACTGCTCATAGACACTGCTTGCACCCAGCAGTACCTCCCTCTCACTCACCACGACTTGCCTCCCGTCGTTCAACGCGCCGGACGGCGGCTATAATAACTACAGTGTATTCTATGGAATACGTATGTTTCAAAGCACAGCGTCTAGATGGCGTTCCACCATACTCTGTGGAATACGCAGTTAGGAAACGAAAGTCTAGATGCCGCTTCAAACGACGGGAAGTGAAGTGAGTGAGGGGGGGTACCCCCTTCCGCTGGAGTTCTTCAACTGAGGTAATCAGTAACGTTGGCGCAGGCCCACTGCAGCCATGCCACTAGGTCGGGAAGGCGGTTTTGCCAACTTGGAAATAAAAAAAAAAGTGTGTCGGAGTGACTCTCGGTGACTGAAAATGTGTGGTGCACGTGATGTTTCAGTCACGGTCGTGCAAAATCATGCTGGAAGATATATAAAGATATACAAGATATAAACTCGCCGAAGATACTTAAGACTGCTTACGTCTAGGAATGCGAAAGCATTATAGTTTGACGGTGAAATGTTTTCAAGTTATGTTTCTACACATATTAAAGTTGTTTCTGCCAGTATTGTATTCGGTGTGTGTGTGTGCGTGTTCGTTGGCCACCAGACCGCAAACTTTCTTGCCCTCATGCTGCCCAGCGATGAGGTTGACCGCGGTTTCATGTGGTGGGTAGCATGACATAGACATAGTTGTTCTTTAAAGCGAGTTTATTCCACGCTATGAGGTCCTCGATATCTAGCAGTAGGTTGGTTGTGATGATGTTGTCTTCTATGACGACAATGTCCTAGCCATCAGACAGGTATATGTCCGGAGTCTACACTCGACCCCGGTTATATCACATTCGGGTATCTTGAATGATTGTTTATATCAAACAGTTCAAACATCTTGAAAATCAAATGTAATAGTTCATATAGGAGCGTTGTCTTTTTGTATCCAACTACCATGGCGGAGACACTCCATATAGCGAGCGAAGCACGATCACCTACTTATCCCGTGGTCTGATTGCACAGGCGGCAAGCACATAGCTCGCGTTGCGGGGCTGGCAGACCGCCGAGCCAGCATACACGTGGGAAGATAGCCAGCGAAAGAGCAATTGTGGGAAAGGAGAGACAATGTGCCGCAAAAACAAAGTGGAGGATGGTGAAAGCAAGGGGAAGGGCACGCACGCACGTAGGGAGAGTAGGGAGTGCCCGCTGTTGGAACGGTAGCCTGCGCCCTTTCCCCGAACACTGTTGATGCTGTGCAACTCTCTAGCCCCAAAATAAAATAAATGTCTTAGGCAAGTCGAGTGTGTGGACAACAACGGTTGTGCAATTGCACTTCGAACGCCTTATCTTTGTTTACCTTTTTCTTTTACCATTATTGCTTTGCCCGTTTTTCTTTTTTTTGCCTTTCTTTTTTTGCTGCCTGAATTTAGTAAGCTTTTTTTTTGTTGAGATATACACCTGCTATAAATTTCTACCATTTGTATATTTAATTTTGCGGAGCCAAATGCGCAAAATGTGTAATGCGCTTCTCAGCGAGCAATTTGAAATGTGTAAACAATTCTTAGTAAAAATTGGATAGAACAAATTAATCAATTACCTAAATTTGCCAGGCCATCTGACAATTTAAGAATTTATGAAAATTTCTTATTTTCTTTCAGAAGTCGCGATGTGACAAATTTTTTTGCCCCGTATTCAATGCGAGAGGAGCCAAGCGTCAGTTGCTGACGTCGAGTTACACTTCGATAAAAGCCTAGGTATCGGCAAGCTCAATGTGCTTAGCGAAAACAAGTGTGCGGCGCTTTGCAACACAACTGTGTGCGCGTGCACAGCTAAGACAGCACGCAATTTACCCTGGTGAATGAAAAACTTTTTTCGACTGCAGCCTTTACAGATCCAAAAGAAAAACAAGAATCGGAGAGGTTGTGAATAGTTCTGACGCACGCTGCGCAAGCCGTAATGTGGAGCTCCAGGCTTTTTTTTTTAATTTTAAAGTTTTTAATATAAAAAGCATTTTAAGGCACACTTATTCATTAGGAAGATCACTCACAAAAACGACGTACACTATAGTAAAAAAAAAAAAAGCCTCGTGACAAGGAACGAAACAAGGGGTGCAAGCACAATTAGAGACGGTGTTGTGTTTTTCCCCTTTTTTTCATTCCTTGTCTGGAGGTTTTTTTCCGCTGTGACCGTTCACCAGCTTGCCTGCGCAGTAACTCTCATTTCAATACGTCGGACAGGTTTCTTTAATAGATGAACCATTCTTAATCGGCATAGGTGTGGACTAACGTAGCCACTCCTTGCTTTGACATAGCGTGTCGTCTGCTCGCATCCTACCTGCTCCTTCGCAGGAGGGCACCCACGAGGTGGCGCTACCTAAACATCTCCTCGCCAATACTGTGTGCAGACCTGGACACGGCAGTGTGTTGGCATCTTCTCTCGTACTCTGGAGCGCATAAACTGTCCTTAAAACAGAAGATGAAGCGCCTGAAGCTCGATTGGTGCACAGAGAGGTTGCAACCTGCTTTCCTTCACCATGGAACACAGCTGCGGTCACCGCTTCGTGTTGCCATGGTTACCATGCCGAGAGACATTGTTGCCGGGTTTTCTGCAAGGGGTCTATAGCAAATCATGCCAAAAACAGGGATAAATTACCTTTTAGGGGTGGGTCACCTTTCAGGGGTGGGGAATCTCTTGAGATACTACAATAATTGTGTTTTTTTTACACAACTAACATTTCCTGACGTTTACAGTGTTTTTACCAAATGAATGTGCTGTATTTTTCCACATTGCTTTGGCTTTCATTGTATAATGTAGAATTGTTATTACGCATGCCGAGCGGGTCAGGGGCTTTGTCAGCCACCAGGCCTCCGCCCCCTGTACAATGCGCAACGATTGAAGAAGAAAAAAAATGCTGGAGGACATTTTAGAGTGAACCCTGTGTACTTCACTAACAGGATTAGAAAATCGCTCAAAATTATGTGGTAATTCGTCCTTCTAGATAAGTGAGAAAAGAGTTCCGGGAAAAGTGCTAAATTGGCAACACTGCCCAGGAGGCCCCTCTCGTCAAGTTGCAAAGTCCCAGCCGAGTCAACGGGAAGGTTACTGCTTTGCAGATGCACACAGCTGGCTCGGGGACTCGAAAAATGACGAAGCCTTTTGCTACAGGGCTTAACATGCGTTTTTAGAATTGTGCTGGAAGAATTGGACCCCATCTAATACCGAATGAGAGCACGAAAACTAGGACAGCCTGGCAACTGTGTTTTGCTGGTGCCCCCATCTCGCGTTTCTTTATTGTGATCGGACTTTCGAGCGAACCCTGTGCACTTTGGCGTCGTAACCAACGAATGGGTGCATCTGTTAGAGCACCGTACGGGCCGGAATTTCTAGGCCCGACCCGGCCTTGGAGAGACATGGCCCGGGCTCCAGCCCGGGCCCCGGCTTGAGCCAGACAGAATTTTAAACATAATCCCGAGCCCGACAAATTTTTTGGAATATTAGCCTCAGCCCGGCCCGAGTTCGACAGATTATAAACATGAGCCCGAAAAAGTTTGCAGGCTTTAACCTAAAACAGTCTAAGCATAAAGTGAGCATATTTGAATTAAATTTCTTATTGAACTTGGACCAATTTTTTTTTTATATACAATAAATATCCCGACTTGGAAGATGTATTTTCGAGGATATGGGCAGAATATGCCCGTCATAAGTGATTTTGAGAAAAAAAAAGTGGGGAATTTTTATTTATGCATTTCTTGAACAGATACAGTTGCTAAATGATTTTTCGGACGCCGATAATTTGGACTTGTTCTATATTTCTGACCTAAAGGAGCAAATGTGACCTACCCAATAGAAATAGTGCATATTCGTGACCGATATTTCGGACAGTTTGAAGCCTGAAAGTTATATGTTTTGGACAAAATCCTCGCGAGCGAACAACGGGAAACACCACCGACAAGCGACCATTTTGGATTCTTTTTTGGCTGCACATGGATTGGCTTGGTTTGGCGGCGCTACTTGAGTACTGCTAAGTCCTACCGCTAGGTGACGATGTACGGCTTTTTTTTTTTTTTCTCTAGCTGCGCGTCATTATCATCATCATTGTTGTCACCATTTTGCTTTTTTCATTCGCCATTGCAGTCGTGGACTTGCGCCTCTCATCTCGATCTCGTCTTGTTGAATCATGTTTTCGTTTTTTGGAATGCGCCGGGATCAGTAGATCAGATCTGAGATGGAGCATGCGATCCGAACGGAGTCGCTCCGCCTCGAGATCCCCAGTGGAACATGACCATTCCTCCGAGATCGGCAGATGCCTTCCCGTCATTCGCTTTTCAGGGAATTCGTT